GGCGTCTATGACGTCTCCTGGCCAAACAATATTTAATCTTTACCCTCGGGGCTCCTCCAGAAACAACAAAAAGCCACTACGGATGGCCACGTGGAATGTTCGAACGCTCACTGCCGAGGAGATGCTGCCACTCCTCTGTCAGGAGCTGGACCGGTACCGCCTGGATCTGTGGCATTCAGGAGGTCCGGTGGACCGGCTTTGGCTTCTGCCACCATGAGGGGTGGACAGGCCTCTACTCGGGGCAGGAGACTACCAAACAACAGGGAGTGGCTCTTCTTCTGAACAAAATAATGAAGGGGAGACGTTGGAGCATGGCGGTGAGGTGTGGGAAGCTGTAAGCCCCAGGCTACTTTGGGCTCGCCTTCCCATCAACCGGAGTGGTGGTCGTGGTTACTTATTTCGGTTACTTATGCCCCCACCGAAGACGAACATCCATGGAGGGAATGCAGGCAAAGACAATGAGTCAGTTGCCTTCTATGACCTCGTGTCACAGGTGCTGGCTAAAGTGGCCCCTCGGGATAGTCATCTTGTTGAGTGACTGCAATGCCCGAGTTGGTCATGATGCTGACACCTGGTCTGGAGTGATTGGAAGGCATGGGCCAGATCAGCTCAATAACAACGGTAGGAGGCTGCTAGATTTTTGTGCAGCCCATGGGCTTGTAATTACCAACACGCTGTTCCGGCATCAGCGCATCCACACAACATCTGCTGGACTACATAGTGACGGAACAGTGAATGCAGGCCTATGTCCTTGACACCAGGACCTACCGTGGAGCTGATCTGCCCTCTGACCATCGACTTGTCATCTGTAAGATGCACCTGCCATTCTTTCACTCTGGTGGTGGTGGCCTGGTCTCAGCTAGCTGATGAAAGTTGCAAGCGGGAATTTCATCATCACTTGCGGCTGGGGTTGGCATCGTCCCTCACTCCTCCAGATGTCGAGGGTAAATGGGCGAAGTTTAGGACTTTGACTCAGGCAGCTGTAATCGCAGCTTTGGGTACGTGTTCCAGACCTCCCCAGAGACCCTGGCTGACAGAGGAGGTGTTCAGGATGGTTGAGAAAAAGCGACAGGCCCACTCTTACCGTCTACAGCATCCCACATCAGAGAATGAGAAGGCTTACCACAGCCTTCGCTCGGAGGTTCGGAGAGCCGTGAGGCACTGCAAGGATGGGTGGTGGTCGTGGGTTGCTGAGGAGATGGAGTTTGCCTCAATGGCCCGCGATCACAAATTCCTATTTAACTCCATCAAAAGAGTAACCTGCAGCGCAACACCAATTACCATCATTTGGGGAAAAAATGGTGATCCAATCTCCGACCCCCAGGAACAGGTTTGCAGGTTTGCAGATTTTCTGAGCATTTCTGTGAAGTCCTGGGGGAGGGTAAATCCCTCGACATGAAAAACATTGTGGGACAAAGTGGGGATGACCCTGTTGAGGCTGCGGTGTCTCAAATATTGGGGGAAAAAAGTAACCCCCTGTGAGTGTCTGGCTGAGGTGCCATCTGTTGAGGAAGCACTAAAGGCGATCCAGAGTCTGAGACCAGGAAAGGCACTGGGCAGAGATGATCTCCCAAGCGAAATGCTGAGGGAAGGTGGCGTTTGTGCACAGACTGCCCTACATGACATCATAACAGTCTGGACCACTGGACGGGTTCTGCAGGATTGGAAGGAATCCCTTGTGGTCCCCCTCTTTAAGAAGGGGGACCGCATAGACTGTAACAACTACAGGGGCATCTCACTCCTCAGTGTGCCGGGAAAAGTCGTGGCAAGGATTATTCAACATCGCCTTGCCAGGCACGCTGAGGAGAGGCTTGCGGAGCCTCAATGTGGTTTCAAGAAAGGGCAGTCCTGCACAGATGCCATATTTTCTGTCCGTTTGCTACAGCAGAGGTGTAGGGAATTCCAACAAGACCTACATCTCTGCTTTATTGACCTGGTCAAGGCCTATGATACCATCAGTAGGCCTGGGCTCTGCGTTGTTCTTCGTGCTTTCGGAGTCCCTAACCCTCTGCTCACGATCATTAAAGACCTTCATGATGGTGAGCGTGCCCGGGTAAAACTACGTGGCCGGGAGTCAGAGCCTTTCCCTGTTCACCTTGGGGTGCGACAGGGATATCCTCTGGCTCCCACATTATTTTACATCTTTTTCGACCACGTAGTTCGTGAAGCCTTTGATGGCTGTACCAGAGGAATTTCCATCTGGTACAGATACAATGAGAGGCTGATCGATGCCCGGGTGCGGTCAAGGGATGGCTCCCTATTGGTCAACCAAGTTATGTATGCCGATGATCTGGTAATTGCCGCTCACTCAGAGGAGGAGTTGGAGGCGCTGCTGCTGAAACTGGAGCGTGCCACTAAGAGGTGGGGCCTTACCATCAGCCCCACCAAAACTAAGCACCTGTCTGGGTATTTTGCACCATCGGGCAACCCACCCCCACAACTCCCAATCGGTGATGGGGCACTTGTGGAGAGAGTGGAGAGTCTCCCATACCTGGGCAGTATGCTCATGACCAGCTCCAGTTTGACAGCAGAGGTCTCACTCAAAATCAGTCCAGCAGCATTATCTTTTCATCGGTTGCGTAACACTGTGTAGGAGCTACCTGGTCTGTCGCTCCGTACGAAGCTTCAAGTCTTCTCCGCCACGGTCATTCCCTCCCTTCGCTACGCTTGCGAAACATGGACGCCCCTAATGGAGCATCTTCGCCGATTGGAAACATTTAGGCTGGCTTGCCTACGATCCATCCTGGGTTTAACCAGGCTGGATTGTGTGAGCAGCTCACAAATCCTTGAAAGCTCTGGGCAAAGCCCCATCAGTGAGCTCCTCCGGCAGGCAAGGCTGCGTTGGCTGGGTTATATAGCCCGCATGCCTAAACAGCTTTTGTTCGGCTAGAGGGGGCTAAACGGGCGTGGCATGGGCTTGAGAAGAGATGGAGTGATGTGGTACAAGAGGATGTGGAGCTGAGTGGACTTGCCGATGACTGGTACCAGCAGTGTCAAGATCGGCCTCTGTGGAGGAGGCTCGTGAAAAACGCTGCTGGGCAGTTGGAGGCAGTCGCCCTCCAACAACAACGGAGGGCGGAGGAGCGACACTCACAACAACGAGCGGAGCGCCGGGTGGCTAAAGCACAACAAGTTGGTACAGTAGGGGGCACAGTTGACCCGTGGCACCTGGGTCTGCCCCGTGACCTCCTGCCAGCGGGCGTTCGACACTTCACGTGGCCTCAAGGTGCACATAGCCTGGCACAAGCGTCGTGGTGACGTCACCGCCACTTAGTGGCGAATGGCGGTTGTTGTTGTGTCTCTCTCTATGTGCGTGTGTCTCTATATGTGTGTCTCTCTCTCTGTGGTTGTCTCTCTGTGTGTCTCTGTGTGCGTCTCTGTGTGCATCTATGTGTGCGTCTCTCTCTATGTGGATGTCTCTCTCTGTGGGTTGTCCCTCTGTGTGTGTGTCTCTCTCTCCATGTGTGTCTCTCTCTCCATTTGTGTCTCTCTCGTTGACATGCTGGTCTCTCCTCGTAGTTGCTCTTGCATTGGCACAGCCCCCGGTTGCTGGAGCGGTCTCACATTGACATGCTAATCTCTTACATTTACATGAAAATTCCATCTCTAGCTCCACCCACTTACCCTTGGGTTGAGCCCACCTCAAGCCTATATAACCTCTTGTTGCAGCAGCTCTTTCTCCTGCCTCAGCAGTTCTCCGGCTACGTTTGTTTCACCTGATGACGATTGCTTGTGTTGCGATCGAAACGTCGTGATCTATTAATTTTCTATCTACGTGACTTTACCGAAAGAACCAAAAAGCTACTTTCGTTGGAAACACATAGCTGTCTACTGTTAAAACGAGCAGGAACTCCTGAAAAGAGTCTTCGGACTCAGTGAGGCTTTCCCAAGTAAACAATTGTAATTCAAACCTATCTCAGAGTGAATCTGGACCGTACGCTAAACTTCCAAGACCACTTGAAAAAGGTAGCTGCCAAGACCAAAACAAGGATCAACCTGGTTCAGAAACTGGAAAACACGAGCTGAGGTGCCACAGCACCCAGTGATATGGACATCACCGGTGGCCCTTGTGCACTCTATAGCCAAGTACTGTGCACCAATATCGACCAGAAGTTGTCACACCCGACTTGTTGATGTCCATTTGAACACTGCAATGCGGTATATCACTAGAACCCTCAAGTCGACCCCAACAACCTGGCTGCCCGTGCTGTCACCACATCTCTTCCCCACTCATCCGCCGCAACGCTGCAACTCTCTGGGAAGTCCTGCGAATCGAGGAGAACAGTCGTCTTCCCATTCATCAGGACCTCAATAACATCCCTCGCCATCGCTTAAAGTCACACTCAATGGAGTTCAAAAGAAGCGCAAACAAACATCTCGTGAAAGACTCAACACAGAAGATCCCTCGGTTCGATCTGCCGTGAAGCTCGTGATCCGCCCTAAACCACATCCAGCGCACAAACCCTGGCAGCAGATGCGGACACCTGATGCACACATGGAAAATTAAAAACTCTCCAGTGTGCGACTGTGGTCATCCAGAACAGAACATACAACATATACCGATGCAAAGCCCGGTTAACAAATACGAAGGAGACAGCACAGCGATATACTCCAGTGATCCTGACGTGGTTATCTGGCTTGACCACCTGAATGTTCTGCATCTACATCAGCAGCCATACGAAAGAAGAAGAATAATGTTTTATGGCAAAATTTGTGCTCGTTTGCAGTGGTATGTGCCAGCATGCCACACTGGCACTTCTTAGAACACCACATACGTACGCTGGTACTCTTCAGAATGGTTCCTATTGCTAAGCGACAATGTTTCCGTAGAGGGGAAGCAGCAACAAGCATCAGCAAAAGGCTTTAATGCTAGCATTCCTACATTCCCATTTCAGCCACTGCCAATACATGTATGATGTGTCCCTATCAACAGCTGTTGCTAGGGCTTCAAAAGCTGTCAGGTCAGCCTCTGTGTCAGCCACAGCTGAGTCAGCACTCACCGGGGTCCTGCAGCTTCACAGCCATCACCTCCAGAGACTCCACCTCTTCCTCCTGCGGAGCGTGGATCACCATGACAGTGGAGCCCAACAGGCACAGCATGCAGCCCAGCTTTCCATGTAGGTTCAGCTTCTCATTCAGGTAGTACGACGACAGCACTGCACTGTGGGGTGCACGGAGACACGCAGCGACACGGCTACACATAACCACTGCACCGACATAAAACCACCAGGGAACACCAGTAACCTACCATGGATAAAGCTGCCAAACGTCCCGGTTGGACGGGACAGTCCTGGTTTAAGAAATGTGGAAGTTCGGAACAGAAAATGGTGCGACCGTGTTGGAGGTGCAATCCGTAAAAGGAGTTCGCGATACGTGGGACAATTGTGCAGAATGCCGGAGGGCAGGTGACCGAGACAGGTGTGGAGTGGTACCTGGAAGTTGGTAGTCAAAGGGAAGACCTACAGCAAGATTGTGGGATACTGTAAGAGCAGACCTTGAAGATCAGGTGTCAACATTGCAATAACTACAGATTCTTTCAGAAGTGATGTAGTGGATTTTTTAAATAATTGGCGATGGCTGTGAAAAAAAAAAAGTTGACTTTGTGGCAATTCAAATTCTCTGAGAGTTGATTGCACTTCATAACATTCATGGGCTCAGCAGCTGGGATCTTGCTCTGTTTGACCAGGTGCACACTCACCTGACAAGGACACTCAGGGCACCTAGCGGAGTGACCAGCGTGGCCGGAGCAAATGCATAGGCAGCGAAGTTCGCACCCTCGCCAGCTCCCACTGCGCAACGACACGAAAGCAACATTCACAGAGGGGGCGTGGCGGTGAAGGGATACGCGTTGATGGTTAGCGTCTGCAAGTACATTGGGATTTTTCTAAATATGTTCATGGCAGATTCAATGAATGCACGTGCTTCCTGTCATTTCTGCAATTTGAATTAATATTTACAATTTACTTATGTATCCAGGAAAGCCAGACTAAGTCCACGGACTCTTTTCAGAAGGGTACTGCATTTGTTGTTTATGTTAATATATTTTGAGCCAGTTATTGATGAGTTGTGTTTATTATACAAGTTGGATGAAACTGGAGCATCCAAAGAAATCCCACGCCTTGCGCTCAGGGGCAACACTGAGATGGGAAGAAATGGAGATTAGTTCACTTGCAATACACCTTCTCCTGGTGAGCAAGGGTATGGCACCCCCTCGACGCCCACGGGAAAGGAGCATCACAACATCTGTGTAATCCACCAATCCTTGCCTGCATATCACAGGCCACCTGCAGTGACCGCTGCCTGGACAATTAAGCGTGGGCCATGATTAACAACCTCAAAGAAGCGAAAATAAATGTTTTGTATGTTCATACACCCTGCACTTTCACGAGTTATTTTATGCATTTATTTCCACGTGTGGGATACACAAGGACAACTTACTGGAGAGAAGTCCAGCCCACCAAAGCCATTCCTTGAGGTAGGCATGCCCACCCTGCCCTGAAAAAAACGATGCAACGCACGGGATTACAAATTCTGGGCTGAAACTAAACGTGTTTACGTATTAAGCTTTTTCATATGAAATGCTTTCTATTTTCACAATTAACAAGCATGGTTTGCATTTAAAGAGCACTTACATGTGAATGCACCTCAGAGTGTAGTACACAGAACAAGGAACACAACACGACAGAACACGGGAACAATGGCAAAACGTAAAAATAAAAACCTTATAGTAAAGTAGGGAAGGCCATGACAACCATCAGAAGCATAATACGGCCACCGAGACCAGGGTCCCAGGTCAGTCATGGCGTTAGTGTCAGTGGTTATGGGTAGCAATAATAATAGGTAGTCACGAGTGATCACAAGGCTGGCGTTTGTCGTCACATGGAGTCGCATGTAGTCACGTGGCTTTCGTTGGTGGTCAGGGGTAAGTGTGGGGCCAGGAGGCAGATGCCGTGGCTGAGGAGACACTACCTGCCCTCGTTGACCCTGTTTTCGCCAGCTTCAGAAGACCCTTCTTCTTAAGGATGTAGCTGCCCCCGATGAAGAGGCTGGAGCTGATGGCCAGGCCCAAGCCTACGTAGAAGCCGTACTTGTCCTTGCCTCCTTCCATGCTGCCGCCCCTCTGGCTGCCCAGAGTGCACTGCTACCTTCACAGCCTTGTCACTGGCTCATGTGGGATTCTGGCTGCACAGGATCATGCAAGCATAATGTTTCTAATTAGTTAGCACCTCACCAGCACAGGGGGCGGGCAGAGTCTAGAACCCTGACGCTCTCTAGAGGTGGCATGATTACGCGACGACAAGTGGCACAGAGTTGGCAAACATTTTCAGGGCAAGGCGTCACTGATAACAAGACTGTTCCTCAGAGCCATGTTATTACAGTGACCAAATAATTGAAATATACGACTACCATATTAGTTAGGATGCAAATTAATTAGTTATTTTTCTCCCAAACAACATCTCATTGAGATGACCTATTTTTAAACTGAGACCTGAGAACCCCACAACCAAGCAGAAAACTGGCAATCAAAAACTTTACTTTATACAACAGATCCATATGTCACCGTGAGCAAAGCCACTTATGCCACAACACCTCGCCAATGGTCCATACCGTCCGCCAGCACCCGCAGATGCTGCATAGTCGACACGCAGCAATCGCCAATCACCAATATCTGCCCTGACTGCCTCGTGCCATCTTCTCTTAGGTTTGATATTGTGAATTTTAATGTGTTAATTTTCAAAAGGAAACACTGCAGAAACTAGTCCGTAAACTGTAACCTGTCTGTAAAACAGCATCAGCCTGTGAACACCGTTTTTGTGTGGTGAGGTCAACATTCAAATTGCTTTTGCAATTCTCTTGCCAGGTGTTGACAATGACACCGATAATTCCGATACTTATGTGAGAGGCAACTATTACATTGTGCAGCCATTGATGCTATATTTAAAACAAAAAACTGTTTTTGCATTACTTTCATTGGAGGACCCATATTGCACTTTGGCTACATTTATGACTGCAGTTTACACGGCTCTGAGCTTGGCAACGTCTGTTAATCATACATCGCCCCGTGTGAATGGCCGCACTGTGCGTACCTGGCATTACAAAACACACAGGACTCTGAGAAATGCTCTCAGATATCGAGCTATGAAAACCTACATCAACACAGGACTCTATTCTTCCATTATAAGTATTGTGTACACTCATTGCACTACACTTTTTCGTCCAAGTTATTCTGAGATTTAATTTATCTTTCCAAAACATTCCACTAATGCTGAGCCATCGTCATGCTTGACACCCCATCAGTGGCACACAATCCACACTGGGCCACTCTAGTAGTTGACACCCATCAGTGACACAACACACACCCATCAGTGACACACCCATCAGTGACATACCCCACACACACCCATCAGGGACACACACCACACACCCATCAGTGACACACACTACACACACCCATCAGTGACACACACCACACACCCATCAGTGACACACACCACACACCCATCAGGGACACACACCACACACACCCATCAGTGACACACCACACACACCCATCAGCGACACACACCACACCCCCATCAGTGACACACACCACACACCCATCAGTGACACACACCCATCAGGGACACACACCACACACACCCATCAGTGACACACACCACACCCCCATCAGTGACACACACCACACCCCCATCAGTGACACACACCACACACACCCATCAGTGACACACACCACACCCCCATCAGTGACACACACCACACACCCATCAGTGACACACACCCATCAGGGACACACACCACACCCCCATCAGTGACACACACCACACACCCATCAGTGACACACACCCATCAGTGACACACACCACACACACCCATCAGTGACACACACCACACCCCCATCAGTGACACACACCCATCAGTGACACACACCACACCCCCATCAGTGACACACACCACACACCCATCAGTGACACACACCCATCAGTGACACACACCACACCCCCATCAGTGACACACACCACACACCCATCAGTGACACACACCCATCAGTGACACACACCACACACCCATCAGTGACACACACCACACCCCCATCAGTGACACACACCACACACCCATCAGTGACACACACAACACACCCATCAGTGACACACTAAACACACCCATCAGTGACACACACACCACACACCCATTAGTGACACACACACCACACACCCATCAGTGACACACACCACACACCCATCAGTGACACACACCACACACACCCATCAGTGACACACACCACGAACCCATCAGTGACACACCACACACCCATCAGTGACACACACCACACACCCATCAGTGACACACACCACACACACACATCAGTGACACACACCACACACACCCATCAGTGACACACACCACACACCCATCAGTGACACACACCCATCAGTGACACACACCACACACACACATCAGTGACACACACCACACACACCCATCAGTAACACACCACACACACCCATCAGTGACACACCACACACACCCATCAGTGACACACACCACACACACCCATCAGTGACACACACCACACACACACATCAGTGACACACACCACACACACACATCAGTGACACACTAAACACACACATCAGTGACACACTAAACACACACCCATCAGTGACACACACCACACACACCCATCAGTGACACACACCACGCACCCATCAGTGACACACACCCATCAGTGACACACACCACACACACCCAACAGTGAAACACACCACACACCCATCAGTGACACACACCCATCATTGACACACACCACGCACCCATCAGTGACACACACCACACACACCCATCAGTGAAACACACCACACACCCATCAGTGACACACACCCATCAGTGACACACACCACACACACCCATCAGTGACACACACCACACACCCATTAGTGACACACACCACACACACCCATCAGTGACACACACCACGCACCCATCAGTGACACACACCACGCACCCATCAGTGACACACACCACACACCCATCAGTGACACACACACCCATCAGTGACACACACCACGCACCCATCAGTGACACACACCACGCACCCATCATTGACACACACCACGCACCCATCAATGACACACACCCATCAGTGACACACACCCCACACACACATCAGTGACACACACCACACACCCATTAGTGACACACACCCATCAGTGACACACACCCCACACACACATCAGTGACACACACCACGCACCCATTAGTGACACACACCACACACCCATCAGTGACACACACCACGCACCCATCAGTGACACACACCACGCACCCATCAGTGACACACCCATCAGTGACACACACCCCACACACACATCAGTGACACACACCACACACTCCCATCAGTGACACACACCACGCACCCATCAGTGACACACACCACGAACCCATCAGTGACACACACCCCACACACCCATCAGTGACACACACCACACACACCCATCAGTGACACACACCACACACACACATCAGTGACACACACCACACACACCCATCAGTAACACATACACCCATCAGTAACACACACCACACACACCAATCAGTGACACACACCACACACATACATCAGTGACACACACCACACACACACATCAGTGACACACTAAACACACACCCATCAGTGACACACACAACACACACACATCAGTGAGACACTAAACACACACCCATCAGTGACACACACCACACACACACATCAGTGACACACTAAACACACACACATCAGTGATACACACCACACACATACATCAGTGACACACACCACACACACACATCAGTGACACACTAAACACACACCCATCAGTGACACACACAACACACACACATCAGTGACACACTAAACACACACCCATCAGTGACACACACCACACACACCCATCAGTGACACACACCACACACACACATCAGTGATACACACCACACACATACATCAGTGACACACTAAACACACACCCATCAGTGACACACTAAACACACACCCATCAGTGACACACACCACACACACACATCAGTGACACACACCACACACATACATCAGTGATACACACCACACACATACATCAGTGACACACTAAACACACACCCATCAGTGACACACACCACACACACACATCAGTGATACACACCACACACATACATCAGTGACACACACAACACACACACATCAGTGACACACTAAACACACACCCATCAGTGACACACACCACACACACACATCAGTGACACACCACACACACACATCAGTGATACACACCACACACATACATCAGTGACACACACCACACACACACATCAGTGACACACTAGACACACACCCATCAGTGACACACACCACACACACACATCAGTGACACACACCACACACACACATCAGTGACACACTAAACACACACACATCAGTGACACACTAAACACACACCCATCAGTGACACACACCACACACACACATCAGTGACACACACCACACACACACATCAGTGATACACACCACACACATACATCAGTGACACACACCACACACACACATCAGTGACACACTAAACACACACCCATCAGTGACACACACCACACACACACATCAGTGACACACACCACACACACACATCAGTGACACACAACACACACACACATCAGTGACACACTAAACACACACCATCAGTGACACACACCACACACACACATCAGTGACACACACCACACACATACATCAGTGACACACACAACACACACACATCAGTGACACACTAAACACACACCCATCAGTGACACACACCACACACACACATCAGTGACACACTAAACACAAACACATCAGTGACACACTAAACACACACACACATCAGTGACACACTAAACACACACACATCAGTGACACACTAAACACACACACACATCAGTGACACACACCACACACACACATCAGTGACACACTAAACACACACACATCAGTGACACACCACACACACACATCAGTGACACACATCACACACACACATCAGTGACACACTAAACACACACATCAGTGACACACTAAACACACACACATCAGTGACACATCACACACACATCAGTGACACACACCACACACACCCATCAGTGACACACTAAACACACACATCAGTGACACACTAAACACACACACCTCAGTGACACACTAAACACACACACACATCAGTGACACCCCACACACACGCCCATCAGTGACACACTAAACACACACACATCAGTAACACACACCCATCAGTGACACACCACACACACACATCAGTGACACACTAAACACACACACATCAGTAACACACACATACATCAGTGACACACACTAAACACACCCATCAGTGACACACACCACACACCCATCAGTGACACACACCACACACACATCAGTGACACACTAAACACACACACATCAGTGACACACTAAACACACACACATCAGTGACACACTAAACACACACACACATGAGTGACACACACCACACACACACATCAGTGACACACTAAACACACACACATCAGTGACACACTAAACACACACACACATCAGTGACACACTAAACACACACACACATCAGTGACACACACCACACACACACACATCAGTGACACACTAAACACACACCCATCAGTGACACACTAAACACACATCAGTGACACACTAAACACACACACATCAGTGACACACTAAACACACACACACATCAGTACACACACCACACACACATCAGTGACACACTAAACACACACACACATCAGTGACACTAAACACACATCAGTGACACCTAACACACACACATCAGTGCACACACTAAACACACACACATCAGTGACACACTAAACACACATCAGTGACACACACCACACACACATTAGTGACACACACCACACACACATCAGTGACACACACCACACACACACACATCAGTGACACACTAAACACACACACATCAGTGACACACACCACACACATACATCAGTGACACACATCACACACCACATCAGTGACACACTAAACACACACCCATCAGTAACACACACACATCAGTGACACACTAAACACACACACACATCAGTAACACACACACACATCAGTGACACACTAAACACACACACACATCAGTAACACACACACACATCAGTGACACACTAAACACACACACACATCAGTGACACACTAAACACACACACATCAGTGACACACTAAACACACACACATCAGTGACACACTAAACACACACATACATCAGTGACACACTAAACACACACACACATCAGTGACACACTAAACACACACACACATCAGTGACACA